ATTTTTTCTGAATATAAAGAGCGTGGGTGTTCATGGTTGAAAACTAGAAAAGACAGAGAAGCAGAAAGAAGAAAAGTTATACCACTCTTAATTCCACAATCCAAAGTTAACCACCTGTATTTGAGTGTACTATATAGATAAAATCCTTCCTTTTCCATTGCTGTTATTTTATAAGCATTTTATCCTGTCGAAAATTCTTCAGAAACTTTATTTTTATTGGCTGCATAATATCTCATCACATGGAAATGCCCAACATTTTCCTTTTTCGATGAGCAAGGATGAAAGCCCCTGCTGTGAGCACAGCGCAGCGCTTGTTGGTGTGAATTGATATGAGTATAAAACCTCCCTATAAGCTATAAAAGCTATTTACCACATGGTTAGGAACTTCTCTACCGCATTTTACATTTTTTAAATCGTAAGTTGCTTCTTCCCTCTTTCATGTGTGCTTATTCATTCTTCAAATATTTATAAGCCAAAAAAGCAAACCAGTTGTCGTCAAGTCAGTTCCAACTCATAGCAACCCCATGTGATTCAGAGTAGAGCTGCTCCATAGGGTTTTCAGTGGCTATGATCTTTTAGAAGTAGATCACCAGGGCTTTCTTTCATGGCACTTCTGGGTGGATTCAAACCACCAATCTTTTGATTAGTAGCCAAGTGCTTAGCCATTTGTGCCACCCAGGGACTCCTCGAAAATTTATAGAGCACCTATATGTGCCAAGCGCTGAGGATATATGCAGATGAACAAGACAGCCCAGGTCCCTGTTCCCAAGGAGTTTATATTCTAGAAGTGGGAAGATAACAATAAGCAAGTAAAAAATATATTTAATATATGACAGGCACAATGAAAGTGAAACAGGGGAGCCCTGGTGAGAGATGACATTGGCTTGGACTATATCAGGGTTTCTCAACCTCAGCACTTTTGAAGTTTTGGGCTGGATACTTCTTTGTTGGTGGGTGGCTGTTCCGGGCATTGTAGGATGTTTAGTAGCATCCCTGGCCTCCACACAGTTGATGCCAGTAGCGCCCTCCAGCCCAGCTGTGACAATCAGAGATCTCTCCAGACATTGCCCAGTGTGTCCCAGGGGGCGGAAGTGTCCCGGTTACGAATCCTTGGGCTAGAGTAGTGGGGATGGGGATGGAAGCAGGAGGATGTGTGGCGTGTTTTAGAGGTTGAGTCTACAGGTCTCACTGGGGGGTTGGGACTAAGCATTTCAAAGATGGCGCAGGGTTTTTGGCCTGAGCAGCTGTGTAGATGGTGGTGCCATTTGCTGAGCTGGAGGTCAAAGTTGTGGGAAACAGAGAGAGCTGAAGGTGTCTTTTGGACACGCAGGCAGAAATGTCAAGCAGGCATTTGGTTGCGTTCTCCTGGAGCTCAGAGACCAGGTGTGGCAGACACGTAAATGTGAGGACATCAGCAAAGGGATTGTATTTAAAGCATGGGCCTGGGGCAGGTTCCCCCAAGAGTGCAGAGGGAGAAGAGAGGGGGGCCAGGCCAACCCTGGGGTACCCTAGCCTGTGAGCATTAGGGGAGCGTGTTGAGCATGATGGTTTCTAGAAAGATTTTTGGCCACCTTGAAATACACGCTTTTAAGGATGAAGATAAACTAGTCTAAAGTGTGTGTATGATGTTTGATGTACTAGTTTAGTTATACATGAAATAAATTATAGAAAATAACACATCTGCTTTAAAAGTACTGCTGTTTTTCTCCTCTCACAATTTAAAATGCAACTTTGTTACACTCCTCATGTGCATCGGATACTGCAGCCATGTGCTGGTCCCCTGACACAGCTCTACAGAGCCCAGCACTTTCAGTTCTCTCTATATTGCTCAGGGTGCAGCACTTTGAGAGGTGATCTGTGATGCTCTAAGTGAATATTTTAGTTCACACCATGTGTACCCACTCACAATAAGTTGAGGACAGTTTCTTTTCTTGTTTTGTCCTGCAGGGGTTTGTTTATGATCTCCACAATGTAATTATTTACTCTTTTTTTAATTTCTGAGGTTTCTGCCCTCTTTGTTACGTGTGATATCCCCGTTGCCATCGAGTCGATACTGACTCATAGCGACTCTAGGACTGGGCAGAACTGCCCCCATAGGGTTTCCAAGGCTGTAAATCTTTACCGAAGCAGACTGCCACATCTTTTCTCCTGCGGAATGGCTGGTGGGTTCAAACCGCCAGCCTTTCGGTTAGCAGCCAAGCTCTTAACCACTGTGCCACCAGGGCTCTCTTGTATGTTGTATGATATAACATAACTTGTTAAAGACTGGTTATGAGCTGAGTACCTGAATAACTACCAACCAGGTCAAGAAACTGTTGCTTTTTAAAGGCTCTTTATAACCACATCCTCCTCACCTTGAAAATGTGAGGCCGAACCTTTAGGGATAATAAAGAGTGATTAAACTGGTGTTACATCTCTTTGCCTCCTTAACAATTCCTTCGGTTTGCCCTGTAAGCATAAGTAGCATTGATTTGAGAATTTCTTCCCCAGGCTAATATATCTTCCCCACACAGTTCTTTGTTAATAACCGAATAATTCAGAGAATGCCCTATAAAATGAGAGGTATTATAAAGACTCATATATAAGGTGACTCCCCTTTTTCTGAGGAGTGATTTGGGGCACACATCTCATTATGTAACAGTGATGGTGGCCTGTGTGTTGGAGGCTTTGTAGCCGTCAGGAAGCAGACTGATAATGTCCTCTCCTTCACTTTTTGCTTCCACAGGGTTAAATTTTCATTTAACTCTTCAGAGTACCTCTGCCGTGGTCATTCACTGCTTTCTCATTTTTGATGTAGGTGGAATAATAGAAGTAGAAGCGAGGAAACTGCTCTGCTCAATGCAGTGAGCCTGCACAGATGGTTTAAAAAGCAGAGAATCAGCAAACTGCGGCCCCTGGGCCTAATCCAGCTCCCCACTTATTGTTGTAAATAAAGTTTTATTGGAACACAGCCACATCCGTTTGTTTACATGTTACCTATGGCTGCTTTTGTGCCACAACAGAAGCATTGAGTAGTTGTGACAGAGACTGGCCTACAAAGCCTAAAAATGTTTATTCTCTGGCCCTTTCCAGAAAAATTTTCTGAGCCCTGATTTAATGTATAAACGTTGAGTCAGACAGTCCTTGCCTCTTTTCCTGGCTATGACATTTACTAGCTGTGTGATTTTAGACTAGTTATCTACCCTCTCTGTGCTTCTGTTTCTTCACTTATGAAATGGAGGTAACATTGGACTTTACAAGGAGACAATGCATGCAAAGTACTTAGAATGGTATCTGGCACATAATAAGCACCTCTTTGATGTTCGCGATTATCACTGTTATTCTCGTGGTGGTAATGATGTTCTTAATAATTCCACCTTCTTTCTCTCACACACATTAAATGTTCACTAATAGGTTTAAGTGGTTTGCTTCCCCAGTGGATGGGAGAAGTATTGGACCAGATGGAGCCCCACCTGAAGCTTGGGTTTGTCTGTCCTTTTCCAGGTCTCACTTACCTTGACGACCTGCTGCCCAAACTGTGGGCATTTATCTGTGAGCTGGGGCCCCACGGAGGGTTAAAGCTCTTTCTGGAATGCCTGAACAATGACACCGAGGAATCCAAGCAGCTCTTGGCCATGCTAATGCTGTTCTGTGACTGTTCCCGGCACCTCATCACGTAGGTTCACTGCTGTGGGGCTGAATTCCTGTCCTAGAGTTTGAGGAGGCCAAAGTACAATGTCAGTAAGGAAGTAATCACTGACATGATTGCTATGTATGTTTGGACCTGTGTGACGCCGTCATTATACGAGTTAGACAAGAAAACGTACCAAGTGGCTGGCAGGTAGGGGGTGTTCAGTGCTTGTTAGTTCCTGTCCTTTCAAGGAGCTGGGTCAGTATCACAGAGTGTAGGCTGGGGTGTTTTCCAGAGCTGTGTTCAAATCATGGCTCGGCCAGTTACTGTGCTAAGTAGTTTACTGGAAAGTTCTGGAGTCAGATAGTCACGGTGCAAAACCTGGCTCAGCTACTTAGTAACTGTGACACCCTGGGCAAGGGGGCAGGTGCTCGACCTCTCTGAGCCTCAGTTTACTCATGTTTAGGTGGGAATAACAGTAGCACCTGCCTCTTGGGGATGTGGTAAGGATTAAAAGAGATAATGCATGCAGAGTGCTTAGCACAGTCCCTGGCTGGTTGAAGAGCACGGTAGGTATTGGCTGTCATTGTTATTGTTATTATTGGGCAAGCTGCTTAACCTCTCTGAGCCTCAGTTTCTTTATTACTAGAATGAAGATAATACTGATAGGGAGTAAATGAGAGGAGGAATGTCAAGTACTTAGTACAGTGCCTGGCATACAGCAAGAAATTAACAGATGTTACATGTTGACTTGTGTTTTTGGTATTCTTTTAATTCCACTTTTTCCCAAAAGGTTGGTGAAGAGTTACAAGATAGAATGGACCTCAGACAGCTCCGTTCAGGCTAAAAGACATTGGCAGGAGGGAATCAGAGACCTGTAGGTGGCAGATTGGATAAGAGTCATAGAGGAAGGGGCTCAGTGGGCAGTTGGAGGGGAGAGGGAGATCTCAATTGCTGGTGAAGGGTGTCCTGAGAGTGAGTCATAATCTGAAGTGAATGGGGTAGTTTTATGAATTTTTTAGTTTATAAAGTGTCTTAAATGGTTCATTGATTCATACATGGGTTCAAATGTTTATTCATTCACTTATAAATACTCATCAAGTACTTCATCAAGAACCTAAGTATCGGTAGTGTCTGTCCTAGATGTGAAATAAGCTTCCACAGATTTCCTCAGTAAGCAGACCCTCAATCAAGAGTTACCCAAGATTCCTTGATGCTCAGGCGTGAATGAGGCACGAATTGAGGCCTGAATTAGGAAAGTGCCTCAGTCAGATCCCTACAAATGAGGAAGATATAGAGTGGAGCTTATTTTTTTCTTAATTATATTTTTTAACTTTTCACTATGGACAATTTCAGATAAATAGAAGTAGAGAGAGTAGTAATGAACCCTCATGTAGCCATCACCCTGTTGCTTATGACCAGTTTGGTTTCGTGTATACCCCCACCTACTCCCCTCTCCCGGGTTATTTTAAAGCAAATCCTAAACATACCATTTTATCTGTAAATTTTACAGTCAGTAGCTCTAAAAGATAAGAATAGAGCTTATTTCTTAACCTTGCTTATTTTGTCTAGTAAATGGTACAGATTTTTTTTTTCCCTTCTTTTCTCGGTGGGAAATTCTAAATAATTTTCTGTCTCATTTAGAATTCTTGATGACATTGAAGTTTATGAGGAACAAATTTCATTCAAACTCGAAGAACTGGTCACCATCTCCTCTTTTCTCAATTCCTTTGTGTTTAAGATGATCTGGGATGGAATCGTAGGTAAGGTAAAGGAGTCATCCATTGTTTGACTGATGATACACTCATGAAAACTATAAAGAGCCTAGAACATTAACTGATTCTTTATTGTCTATCAAAGTTAATTGGAAACATATATTTATTCACATAATTGGAAATTTTCTTCCTTCATACTCTGTGACGTCACCAGGTAGTGTGGTTTATAAAATCTCACTCTCCCAGGTGTGCTTCAGGATTTGCATGTGTGTATCAAGGATTATTAATGATGATTAGTTTTGCCCTGTATCTCTTGTCCTGTTGATTCGTTGAGTTGATTTCCATGATGACCAAACGTATGCTGGTTCACAGTCAGATTAGAAGTGTGTTTCTAGTAGTTCAATAAAAAGTTCCTTCAATTAAAAAAGTCCCTTGGATGACATGCTGGTGGGAGGCAGCATGAATGATTGTGTCTAAGTGATACTCAAGTCCCGCAGACACTTAAAACATTCCTAGAAAGAAAATCTGTTGCTGTCGAGTCAATTCCAACTCATAGCGAGCCTATAGGACAGAGCAGAACTGCCCCATAGGGTTTCCAGGAAGCGGCAGGTGGTTAGCAGCTGTAGGTCTTAACCATCACGTCACCAGGGCTCTAGAACATTCCTAGAGTATCTTTTAATTCCTTTGGTTTCATGTAAAATCCAGAGGGCAGGAGATCAAGGACGTGGAGATGAGCAGAGGAGTCGAGAGGCTGTCCTCCCCTCCTCTTTCGTTCTGATCGCCTCTGCCCTGAGTGTGACTCGCCTGTTTGTGTGTCCTACAGAAAACGCCAAGGGCGAGACCTTGGAGCTGTTCCAGTCCGTCCACGGCTGGCTGATGGTGCTCTATGAGCGGGACTGCCGGAGGCGCTTTGCCCCTGAGGACCACTGGCTGCGAAAGTGAGCACCAGGGCTTGGGAAGGGGCTTGGTGGGAGCCAGTGTGCACTCCGCTGTCACACTGCCAAGCCGCAGAGCTGTCGAGGGCTTAGCACTCATGTTCTAAGGCAGAGAGGATTTTTCCCTCCTTCGTCTTGTCCTTTTATCTACATAAAGAGAGCCACTGTTTCTGTGAGGCACTGTCAGCACCGATCATTTAGCAGCTGCTTCTTAGATGCTGACGCTGAATATGATTAGGGTTAATGACTAGTGACAAAGCCAGATCACGTTTAGCAAATGGTTCTTGTCCAAACTGGGATGGAAAGTTCTTTCACCTGTGCTGAGCATTAGGCTGTGATAGCTAAATGTCAGTTCAGCAGCAGAGTTACCAGAGTAAAAAGCAGTTAGGGGTTTGAGGGTGGGGGTGGGGGAATCTTCCTGCAACAAATGCTACTCTCCTGCAAAATGATAGAATTTGTATCAATGATACTGTCAGCTCTTATGTAACTCTTGAAATTGTGGCACTAGAGCAGGGCTTAGCAAACGTTTTCTGTAGAGGACCAGACAATAAATATTTTAGGCTTTGTAGGTCATACAGTCTCTGTTGCAACTAGTCAGCTCTGCAGCTGTAGTGTGAAAGGAGCCATAGACAATACATGTACAAATGAGCGTGGCTGCGTTCCAATAAAACTTTATTTACAAAAACAGGCAGCAGGCTGGATTTGGCCCACAGACTGTAGTTTGCCAGCCCTGCGCTAGAGAATGGTTTTCTTGCTTTAATTATCTCAAACCCGTGTCTTTCTTTGTAAGGGACCTCAAACCCAGTGTGCTCTTCCAAGAACTGGACAAGGACAGAAAGCGGGCACAGCTGATCCTGCAGTACATCCCTCATGTCATTCCTCACAAAAATGTGAGTTGCAGGTAGAGCAGTGTCTTAAGTAGTTCATTGATTCATACGTTCATTCAGACATTGATTCATTCACTCACATATACTCATCAAGTACCTACTGTGTACCAATAGTGTCTGTCTTAGATGTGGGATAAGATTCCACACCTTTCTTCAGTAAACACAGACTCCCAGTCAAGAGTTACCCAAGATTCCTTGATGCTCAGGCATGAATAATGAATAAGGCACGAATTTAGGCCTGAATTAAAGCGTCACAGTCTAGTTCTTACAAATAAGAAAAATATATAGAGTAGAGTTTATTTGTGTTTCTTTCCGTCCTGCTACAATGTTCTTGACTTTCTATCTTTATTATTAAAGAAAAAAAAAAAAACAAAACCCATTGCCATTGAGTCGATTCGATTCTAACTCGTGGCGATCCCATGTGTGACGGAGTAGAACTGTGCTCCATAGGGTTTTCTTGGCTGTAATCTTTACAGAAGCAGATTGCCAGGACTTTCTTCTCTGGCACCCACTGGGTGGGTTTGAATCGCCAGCCTTTAGGTTAGTAGCTGAGTGCAAACTGTTTGCGGCACCCGGGGACCCTATCTTTGTTATGGCAGTGGGAAATGAGTAAAAGAGATCATTCGTTCAACAAGCAGTGATTGAATTTTGCTCTTTGCATTAAGTGCTGGGGCCCAGAGACAGAGAAGACAGTGTGAGCTGGCGGTTCACAGACAGGGCAGCTGCTTTTGAAACACATGCAGGGCCCTGGCCCAGCTGGGAATGAGGAGAGGGCTCAGGGAAGGTCTCCACAGACAAAAGTAGATGATGTTTAAACACCCCAGGGTGAGAGAATGTAGTGCTACTGGGGAACCAAAAGTACAGTCTGGTTGGAGAGAGTATAAAGGAGGAAGTCAAGCAATGAAACCAACGAGGTTGATAGGTGCTGGAGCAAGCAGGACCTTGTAAACCAGGAGGAGGAGCTTGGATTTTATCAGAAACTACGGAAGGGTTTTACATGTGGGAGGCATGTGGTCAGAGCTGTACTTTAGAAAGATCCTTCTGGCTGTAGTGTGGAGGATTGGCTGGAGGCAAGAAGGTGTCACAGCAATCTCGTCTGGACTAGGACAGGGCTGTGGGAGTAGAAGAACCCCAAAACCCATATCCATTGCCAAGGAGTCAATTCCAACCCATAGTGACCCTGTAAGAAAGAGTAGAACTGCCCCATAGGGTTTCCAAGGCTATAAATCTTTATGGAAGCAGACCACCACATCTTTCTCCTGCGAACCCTCCTGGGTTCGAACTGCTGACCTTTTGGTTAGGAACCAAGTGCTTAACCACTGCACCACCAGAGAGGGCTCCTTGAGAGTAGAACAAGATGATAAAAATCAAGTGATTCTTAAGAAGGTAGCACCTACAGGCCTTGGAGAATGATTACAAGGAGAAAGAAAGGAAAAATCTGGATGATGCCCAGGTTTCTGGCTTGTGCGCCTGGTGAGTCGGTGGAGCCATTCCCTGAGGTGGGAGCAAAAGCAAGAGCGGGTTTGGGAAATGATGGTGAGTTCAGCTTCCAGCAGGTGGGATGTGAGCTGTCTGTTGCTCCTGGAGGCCACTGGACACATGAGTCTGGAGCTCCGGAGAGAAGACTGGGTGGGAGATGGAATCTATGGGAAGACAGCACCCAGCTCTCATAACTACAGTCATGGACGTGGGTGAGGTGGTTAGGGAACTAGAGGGAGTGAGAAGACGAGGACTGAGGCCAGAGCCCTGCGGGACCCATTGCTTAGGGGGCCAGCCCTGGAAGAGAGGGAGTAACGAGAGACAGGAGGAAAACTGGAGAGCGTGGCATCACAGATGTGGGAGCCCTTGGGAGGTCAGGCGCTGTGGGAGGAACACCCAGGAAGTGACAAAGCATTGTGCACATCCCTGGGGAGTCGTGGGCACTCAGAAATGTCCGTGAGATGGCGTGACAATCCTGCATTCCTCTCAGAAGAGGCTCCTTAGAGTCTAGGTGTGCCCTTTTTACTTCTTTGACAAAATAGATTTATTTTTTCTAAAAGAACAGAGATCGCATTTTTGTAAATTAACTCTTAATTGCAGAGATGCTTAATCCTCACTGCTCTCTGATATCATTTTGACCTTAACCCTAATACTTATGGTTGCCATTCTTTACCCTTAAGCAGTAATGTGCAGACAGATGTGGCTGTTCCAATTCGTAGTGCTCTTGATAGCAGAGACTCAGAATTGAAGGGAATGGTTTGAGGGGACCCCTTCTACTCTATCCCCGAATTCACCTCTGATAGGAAACTCGCAGCTTTGCAAAGCAGGCTGTTCTGTTTCTTTCCTCTTACAAGCGATGGAGCATTCTTCCTCGTATTACGATGGTCACTTCTCTGTGATTTGGTCCTTGGACAACCCCCAAAAGTGGAACCTCTAATCTATGGAGTAAACTTCAGAGAATTGCGAACAATGCTCGTTTGCCCTCTAAGTCTTCTGTTTTCCAGGTGTAGCATCCTTAGCTTCTCCAAGTATTCCTTGTTGGAAGTAGTTTCCAGCCCTTCATATCCTGGGCCTGTTCCAGTTTGGTGGTGTCTGATTTAAAACATGGCATCTCAACCTGGAACTACGCGTCTGTGGATTCAGCCTTGTTAGGCGTTTGTGACCACAGCATTCCCTATGATGTCTAGTTTAGAATCTCTATTCTGTGTATCTGCCATTCACAAACAATGTGCTGTGACACCCTGGGGTGCCTCGGGATATTTCAGTCTGCAAGGGGAACACAGTGAAATCTGTTGCACACCGTGAGAACTACCAGCTCAAGGGGGTTCAGTCTCATCGTTAGATGGCGCTACAGCCTTTTCGATGATGTTATATATTTGCAAAGCTGGGTTTTCAGGGTTGCAGTGATAAAAATCAGAGCCCTGGTGGCATAGTAGTTAAGAGCCTGGCTGCAAACAAAAAGGTCGGCAGTTCAAGTCCACCAGCTGCTCCTTGGAAACCCTGTGGGCAGTTCTACTTTGTCCTGTAGGGTCGCTATGAGACGGAATCGACTCGACGGCAACAGGTTTGGTTTTTTGGTGATAAAAATCAATTACTGTGTGAAAATCAGCGTGGAACAGGAATGGAAGGTGGTGGCAGCCAGTCTGATTCCAGGGTTTCGGAAGCTGTACAGTGCCCAATACGTACACATATCTATTAGCAGTTATTTGCGGTTATTTAAGAATGAAATAAAAACATAATTTTTTTAATCTTAATTTATGTGTATTGTGTTTTCAGTTTAGCTACGAAGTTCTTAGGACATAAATATTCATGAAGTTGTTAAGACCTAACTACCTAATGAACAGAACCGTTAGGTATTTCCTTTGGCTTCTCCGAGTGTTGAGAATGGAGAGAGAGGATTCTTTTCAAAGTACAATGGAGAAAAATTACTGGAGGGACTGTGGTGTGCTTGAGGGCTCAGGGGGGTCAGGGGAGTCAGATAAAAGGTCAAGAACCTTCATATTGTAGGATCATGTTTTTAATTTTTTTTATTGTACTTTAGGTGAAGGTTTACAGAACAAATAATTTCTCATTAACAGTACACATACTGTTTTATGACATTGGTTAACAACCCCACGACATGTCAACACTGTCCCTTCTTGACCTTGGAGGACATTTTTTTTTTTTTTTGGTGAAAATATACACAGCCGAAGACACACCATTTCAAAAATTTCTACATGTACAATTCAGTGATATTGATTACGTTCTTCCAGTTGTGCTGCTATTCTCACTGTCCTTTTCCAAATTATTCCATCATCTCATTTTTGTAATTTCTGACAGTGAGAAAAATTATCTTTGAAATGTTTCTGGTTTTAACACTCATAATATTGATTTCCTTTAGAGCAGGCGTGTCTACGTATATAAAGCAGCCTCTGTAACTTGTCCTGCCGCCAAGTGTCCGCGGTGGGCTATTGATTGAAAGAGGAGAATGGTTTTCTCCTAGATTGTTCTAGCCGCACTCTAGCCGCAGCCAAGCACTCTTTCTGGAACATTTCTTCCTTGGCACGGATTCAGCAGTATTTCTAATTCTCAAAAGCACTTCTGGGAATGGTCACTGTTCTTACAAGACGCTTGTGACCTGGAGCTCATGTCAGAGTGCCCCTTCTGTTACCTGTCACATGACTTTCATTTCAGTAATTTTGTGAAGTGTTTTGCAGGGAATCATCCGTTGTTGACCCGGTTTCTGATCCCACCTTTGCTCATTTCAGAGAGTTCTCCTGTTCCGAAACATGGTTACCAAGGAGAAGGAGAAGCTGGGACTTGTGGAGACCAGCTCCGCCTCCCCTCACGTCACTCACATTACAATCCGACGGTCCCGGATGTTGGAGGTGAGTGGTGAGGCTGACGGAAGCCTACTACAGAAATATGATCGACTGCCTCTGAACTGTTCTTGTCCCTCCTCGGTCTAACGACACTGAAATCAAGGCTCTGGGAGCAGGAAAGAGGTCATTTGTCCCATTGAGTGCTCTGAATAGCTGCTTGATTAAAGCTGGCCTCAGTGCTAGAGAGCCACAGTGTAGTATTTCTCTTCCTTCACTTCATGAGGATCCCTTGGCTAGAGAATCAAACTCTCCATACCTCTCTGAAACAAAGACAGGAACTACCGAGTACAGTCGATGCACTGATGTTCTCATGTCTGTGCAAATGCCGCTTGTTGCAGGCACTCTGCCCAGACTCCCCCAGTGAACCCATGGGCTGGGGTGTAGGTGTCAAGTTAACTGAGCCATACAGAGAAACACATTTGTCACAGGACGTAGCGTCTGCAGAGCTAGAAGTTCCTTGTAGACCTAAACTTAAAAGATACAAGTGAAGTGGCCCGTATTAGCCAAATCCAATGGCTAGGTTACCGCTGTATGGCAACTTTACGTAAATTAGAAATCGGTGCCCTGTCCTCAGTACACTTTACCTCCACCACAAAAACCAAACCCATTGCCATCACGTCGATTCCATCTCGTAGCGACCCTACAGGACAGAGTAGAACTGCCCCATAGGGTTTCCAAGGAGCAGCTGGTAGATTTGAACTGCCAGTCTTTTTGGTTAGCAACCGAGCTCTTAACCACTGTGTCACCAAACTCCACTTTACCTCCAAGTGTCAGAAAATTGTCCTAATACATTGATTTTGCTGGAACAAGATCCTGATTACGATTTGCTGGAATGTTGTCATAATAAACTTACAAGCCTATGAAGTCTACAGTGTGCATGCCACACCCAACCCTAGGGCTGTATAGTACACAGCCTGCACATCTGCACTGGTCCTGCCAGCAGCACAGTTGCTGACTGAGTCCAAGTCCCCATCCCCAGGAGAGGCTTGGCTTGATTCACTCGCCCATGCTTGTTCTCTAGACCTTTTATCCCACTCCAGCCATAGCTCCTTATTAGCATATTCTGCAGCATAGGACAGTCATGGGATTCCATGACAGCACGTGGCCACATAGCCAGCCACCAGCTAACAGCACCAGGCAGCATCCCTTCCTCCCCACACAGTTTTCATTTCCTCCCACAGTGCATTTGCTCCATGTTTGTGATGATTCTTCCCAGAGAGTTTGTTTTTGTTCCCCTGACCAGGTGTGATTGGCACCAACATCTGCTGGGGAAAGGCAGCTTGTGCTAAACAGCTGATATTTCGGCATTCTTAAAAGTAGGAACTTAAAGTGTCCACGGGGCCCTGCAGGTCTTGAGATAAGTAAAGCTGGTGGAGTGTGTCTCAGTGCAGAGTACTTTGCATGGTAAACAAGTAGAAATCGTCTTCACTTCTATTGCTTTCTCCTCTTTTTCTTGAAACGTAGCCCTCTCAGTCTAGGAAACCCTATATAAGAAAAGCAATCCCACAAGTGAGTTGGTAAATGGTACCGGACACCCTGCCTCAGTGTCGGGGAGCAGTGGGAGGGGTGGGCAACCTGGAGATCTCCAGCCTCCCCTGCTCGACTCTGTCTGATTGTGGCCAGGTGGAGATTTAGGCTTTAAAATACTCTGATTTTTTAAGAGAAGGCCAAAATTCAGGATTTTGTGTGAAACCCGTGGATCTTTTTTGTTGTAAACTAATTAAATTTTATAAGCTACCTGCAAGTCAGATAGCACCTGTCCTCCCACCGAATTCTACCTGTGGGCCACTGGTTTGTAACCTCTGCTTTGACGCAAAGAAGGGAAAGCCCAATGGTGTTATAGAGTCTCCTTTCTCCAGAACTGTCTTCATCGGACCTGGAGACACCTCCCCTGTCTTTAAAAAGTCCCCACTGCCCTACCCCGTAGTCCCACCACCCACTCAGCTGTGGCCAGCACCCACTGGCACAGACTCATGACTCCTGAGAGGTGGCACAGTCCCCTGACTCCCTCCTCAGTGGCATTGCTTCTGGGAAATGCAGACATCCCTGTCACACTGGGCTCTCAGGGACGTCAGAAGAGGGGTGTCAGAGGCTTCAGGCAAAGTCCATCTTCCTCTCTACTTCCCGTGGAGCACGCTTGTCTTGGATTTGATCAGAGTTGGTCACATTGAATTAGGGAGGGGAGAGGGTCGCTTATTCAGTTACACAGTTGTTCTTAATCTGGTGGTTTGGTTAGTAGAACATTAGAGCCCAGTGGCCTTTGCTTGATTTGGACACAAGGAGGCATCAGAAGACTGATATTAGATCCCTTTGCTCTCTGGGCTTTTTTTCTGTTTCCTGTTTTATGGTTTGTGTTGAAGACCATGTTTTGATTAGGCTTCCAGGTATTAGTCGAAAGTCCTGCAGGAAGTCCCCTCCTCCCAGGTACAGGTGACTTTGGACTAGAACTCTGCATTTCAGAATCAGAAGGACCTTAGAGATGCTCTGGGCCAACTCTGTCCTCTTGCCCTGACAAAGGCAGAACTGAGGCCAGAAGGGTTCAAGTCTTGGTCACGGTCACTCGGGTGTCGGCCCCAGAGCTAGGCCTGGAGCCAGGTCTCCCGTCCCTGGGCCAGTGTTCTCTACGTCTGCACTTTGAAAAGTGTTGTAAAGGAGGAATGCCACACTCATGCTTACCTTCCCAAGGGCACGTGATCCTCGCACAACAAGACTCGTTTCCAAAAGGCAGTAGGGTACAACAGGAGATATGTCGACAAGCAGGTGACCCTGTTCTTCCCTCCAACTTTCATAAAAGAAGGTGATGTGGGGCTGATCAAGACTGAGATTCGAATCCAACAAACGTCTCTTAACACCTGCCGTCTACAGGCCATGTACTAAGTGCTTTCACATATACCATTTGATTTAATCTGCGTAACCAGAAACGCGTCTGCTAACATCTTTTACGGTGGTGGTGGTTGTTAGTTGCAGTCAAGTGGATTCCAACTCATGGCGACCCGACATGCAGAGTAAAACTGCTCCATAGGGTTTTCAAGGCTGTGTCCTTTCGGAAGCAGATCACCAAGCCTGTCTTCCAAGGCGCCTCTGGGTGGGTTCGAACCACCAACCTCTCGGCTAGTAGTCGAGCACTCAACCATTTGTGCCACCCAGGGACTTGTGTTAAGGTTGTTGTTATTGTGTGTTATTGAGTCAATGCTGACTCATAGCGACCCTGTTAGGGAAATATAATTGTAAAGCAGAACAGAGTAAGCCCTACGTGCATTCAGGAACATGTTAGAATTCTCCACCTGTCCCCAACCCAGTGCTGAGATAATTGTCTTAAATTTAGGCAGAATGCTTTAACTGCTGTAACAGCTGCAGGGGTCTTCCCTTTTTGCCTTTTTTTCGTCGGACTTTAGGGTATTAAACTTCATGGGCATAAAAAGTGCTTTTCAGGTGTGTGCGCACAAAAGCGTGTTCCTGTTCCTGCAGGTGACTTGGGGGATTTCAAAGGCCATTTTTACCTTGCTCACCAACCCGAGAGCCTGACTCCTGAGTACACTTCTGAGCCACCGTAGGATAGGCCTTTGGGTCACTAGGTGAGCGCGGGGCACACGGGATCAGCGGGAAGGCAGCCAGGGCTCCCCACACCAGGGTTCTCCACACAGGCCCTCCCAGACTGACCTCGTTTGCTTGTGACAAGGTGAGCAGCCTGGCAGACGATTGGGTGCCGTGGAGATAGTCTGTCTAATGTCAGCAAACATGTGACGGTGCTGTGGTGGCTGAGACGGAGAGTGAGGGTGGGGATAGAATACGGAGGGTGATCTGTGACTGGCTCGATGACGGTGTCTGAGGATCTCGGTTTCGCCCTGCTGATGGGTCTGTCTTGTTGGCGGAAGGACGCCTCCCTAGACCCTGTCCTGTTCGGCGCTGCTTTTTATAATCACTACTCTGGAATGAAAACATACGCAGCTTGCGATCAGCCCCCCGATGCCAGAAATACGTTAGACGACAGACACAGGAGCGACAGATGAGAATCAACAGACGCACGAAACAAGATGATCTGACGGGAGAGCCACAAAGCTCTGTCCTAGGTGTTACACGAGTTGCGTTCTGGATAGGAGAGATGAGCGGAAAGGCTGGGTGGTTGCAAGCCAGAGGTGTGCTGGGGCTCCCCCTCCCCACTGCCCTGCCCTCCTCAGGCCCCCATCACTCCTGCACCCCAGTCTCCCTGCTTCCCGCCCCACCCCCACCATCCATCTGCCCTGCCACCAAAGGAAGGTCCTTCTATGACAGAAAGCCAACCATGTCGCTCCCTTCCTTAGACCCTCTATGGCTCCCCATTGCCCTCAGGATAAAATCTGAGTTCTTCAGCGTGACTCACAAGGCCCTTCATGGTCTAGGGAAAGCACCAGAGGTGGAGGTTAGTTTTATTTTTCATTTTATAGCATTTTCCATAAGTTTGATTTTCGTTGGTTTTTTGTTTGTTTGTTTGTTTTTCACCGTGAATGAAAGATACTCATAGCATTAAAATTGAAATCTTACCCCAGTTTCTTCCACCATTTGTCTGATGGCTGAGAGTTTGTCATCACTCATCTCGTCTAATTCCCTATCTTGCTGCTTTGCCTGCTCTTGAGGGCAGCCTCCCCTTGCCAAAGAGCTGTAAAAATGCATCTTTCCTTGTAACAGGCTCTCATTGCAAAGCAGGTGAGCGGTGCTCTCCCTCTGCACCCGAGTGTCCTAACTTCCGCTTTTAGTAATCACACAGGGGACGCTCCACCCAGGGCCACAGGAGCCTTGCAGGGGTGCATCTTGAATGATGCAGAAGGCCTTGGGTTCCTAATGGGCTGCAACTCTGCTCTGGGCAGGACGGCTATGAGCAGCTTCGGCAGCTCTCCCAGCACGCCATGAAGGGCGTGATCCGTGTGAAGTTTGTCAACGACCTGGGGGTGGATGAGGCAGGGATCGACCAGGATGGCGTTTTCAAGGAATTCCTGGAAGAGATCATCAAGAGGGTGTTCGACCCAGCGCTCAATCTCTTCAAGGTACGTAAGGGGCGTGAGAGCGGGGTAGACAGCAGCCACATTTGAAGTGACAGTTGAGAAGTGAAGGGGCTGGGCTTGCTCATTACTGGGCAGTTAACCTCTCTGCCTCTCCCTGCCCTTTGTCTTGCAGACAACCAGTGGGGACGAGAGGCTGTACCCTTCACCCACCTCCTACATCCATGAGAATTACCTGCAGCTTTTTGAGTTTGTGGGGAAGATGCTGGGGAAAGCTGTGTATGAGGTAGGCGCATGAGGGAGCACTGGACTAAAATGTACGGTAAAATGTTGGCAGTGTCATTTATGTGATCAGCCCCAGCCACGTAGAACACCTCATCATTAGGATCCAGCAGGGGAGACAGCATCAGGAACGCAGATTGGCAGGACGCAAATGCGAGGTGCTTTACACACGTCATTTCATGTGATCCTCTCCACAGTCCTGTGATGTGGCTGCCTTTCTTGTGTTTTAAGAACAAGGAAACTGAGGCTTGGAGAAGTCACTGCCCCGAGTCTTATAGCTAGTTAAGCAGGAAAGCTGCATTCAACCCCCGGCCAGCTGAGTTCTGAGTCCGTCCTCTCCTGCCCTGAAGTGTGAGGACCGGTGGGCCAAAGCCAGGTCTACCTCCATGTCAAAACTTGGCCCTGGTTGGAGGAGGGCAGCATTCTGGAGTTTTTTGTAGTTGGTGTAGTTGTTTTTAAATGTTTTCATTTGCATGCTTCACAAGAAGCCAGAGGCACCTGTGAGTTGGCCTGCAGACTAGAACAAGATGGAGCACGAGGCTCACTTCAGCTGGCCAAGACTAGCTAGCTGTATGACTGCGTGCAAGTTGCTTTCTGTCATCAGTAACCAAAACCAAACCTACTGCCGTCGAGTCGATTCTGACTCATAGCGACCCCACAGGGTTTCCAAGGCTGTTATCTTTATGGCAGAAGACTGCCACCCACATGTTTCCCCCACTGAGCTGCTGGTAAGTTTGAACCACTAACCTTTTGGTTAGCAGCTGAGCTCTTTAACCACTGTGCCACTAGGGCTCCTTCATCAGTAAAGTGGGCCTAATAACAGCCACTTTAGTGGGTTGTTGTAGATGGTAAGTGAGGTAATGTGTATAAAACACCTCACACTGTCCTGGCACCTGGTCAGCCTCAGTGATTTGGAGTTGCCATCCTCACTGTTGTGATTAAGAGAAAGGGTGTTCTGAGCTCCGCGCCTCAGTCTTGTGGCGTCGGGTGGTGCGGACTTTTGCAGGTAAGGCCCACACAGCTCATGTTCACTCTCCGTTGAGCCACGCTGCATGACGTGGAACGACTCCCAGGTGACAACCTGACACCCCACTCTTACCCTCCAGGCCACCTCCAGCCCTGCACCTGTTGGGTGGCCCAGGCTCACCTCTCTGCTTCCACATCTGCACAATGGAGACAGTTCCTATCTCACAGGAAATGAACTGAGTAACCTCTGCAAAGGAGCACCTTTCAGATACTCAGTGAATGGCAGTTCTTTTCCCTCCACTACCAGTTGGCACTGAGTCAACTCCAACTCCTGGCGACCCCTTGTGTGTCAGAGTAGAACTGTGCTAGATAGGGTTTTCAGTGGGTGATTTTTCAGAAGTAGATTACCAGGCCTTTCTTCCGAGATACCTCTGGTTGGACTCAAACCTCCAACTTTTTGGTTAACAGCCGAGCACATTAACTGTTTGTACCCCCCAGGAACTCCTTCCCTCCATTGCTAGCTGTGTTGAGACCCAGAAGAGCCTGGGCCCACTGGAAAGCATGGCTTCATGTCTTTTGAGAAAGTCCTCCCCCATTTACTGGCCCCATCTGTCCCTCCCTTCCAACAGTAACAGTGCTGATTAGAGGAATTAGCACCTACTGGGCCCTGTGCAGAGAGTCCCTGGGAGGCACAGACGATTAAACACTTGACTACTAACCGAAAGGCTGGCAGTTTGAACCCACCTAGAGGCATCTCAGAAGAAAGGCCTGGAGATCTTCGAAAAAACCACAGCCTTGAAAACCCTATGGAGCGCGGTTTTACTTTGCACACATGGGGTCACCATAAGTCAGAATTGACTTGACAGCAACTGGGTTTTTGAGGGGTTGGGCCCGTGCGAGGGCTAGCATACATTCACTCATCTGACCCTCTGACGGGCGATCACTGAGTGTGACTGACTCTGCCCCTGAAATCTCTGCAGTCCTTGCACGCTCTCCACCCCCATGGCACTTCCTTGGTGCAGGCTGTTGGCAGCTCTCCCTGCCTTAGGCACTGGCCTCCTGGCTGAATCCTGGCCTCCTGTCTTCCTCCCTCCAGGGCACTCCCCGCCTAAAGTAGGAATCTGCCACTTCCCTGCTTGGAGCCCTCAGGGTAGGATCCAGACTTCAGTGAGTTTTACAAGGCCCCGCCTGACCTGGGCCTTCCTGACTCCCTGGAGCGTGCCTGTGGCCTCGATGTGTCCTGCTCCTGTAGGTCTAGCTTAGGTATCTCTTCCTCCTGGAAGTTTCCCTGGCCTGCATCAGGTGAGAGGCCTCCTCTGCTCCCCTGGCACCTTGCACATGCCTACAGACAGCACCCACCACCCACCATTGCACTGCATTGCTCAGGCCTTGCTTTAACAGCTTCATTGAATCTTCTAACCGAAAAGCTGGGACTGGTCCCGTTTACAGGTGAGAAAGCAGATGTTTGGTCAAGGCCCCACACAGGGTCACCTAGCCCGGCAGTAGTAGGGCTGGGTTTGGTCCCTGAGCTCCAAAACCTGTGCCCTTACCCACTCTGCTGTCATGTCCCCAGGAGGCACTTGATTGTGTTTGTTCAGTGATGGAAAGGGATTGTCCTCCAGGTTGAAAACAAGCCTGGAGCTGACATAGCACTTTCAGGGCCACCTCTGCAGCCTGAGCCGCCCCCCAGTCACGTCACAGAAATGGAGCCTGGATGGTGGAATCGCAAGCAGCTGTCTCTTCCCCCACAGGGAATCGTGGTAGACGTGCCCTTCGCCTCCTTCTTCCTGAGCCAGCTGCTCGGGCACCACCACAGCATCTTCTACAGCTCTGTGGACGAGCTGCCCTCTCTGGACTCAGAGTTCTACAAAAACCTCACTTCCATTAAGGTCAGTGTAGAAGAGGGGCTGGCCAAGCAGAGAGCTGGTGGGAACCCACGTCAGGTGCAGCTTTGCCCTGTCTGTGCACCTGGGACTCAGCCTTCCTGCCCTCTGCTGTCTTGCTGTGGTGAGGGGGTCCTCCCTGTAGCCACTGCAGGCCATGTCCGCCACTGTGTGTTCCCTCTCAGGGCTGCAGACTCAGCCTGTTTCCTCAAGGGGATGGGTGGCCTTTGCCTTTGCTTCAAGCTGTTAACATCGCCAAAGGAGCAGCTTATAGGAGGGGAAGGGTTAAGTTCTTCAAGAATATAGCATTCCTCAGCCTCAACCTTTTCCCCTTCTCTGTTGTATTAGCGCTACGATGGGGACATCGCTGACCTGGGCCTGACACTATCTTATGATGAAGACGTGATGGGTCAGGTAGGTTGGCCTCTGGCTGAGATCTCCTTTTTCTTCCCTCCGTTGGCTTCTTGAGACCTGCTTAGTCTTGGTGGTTTCCCCAGGAGATCCAAAAGCTGAGGATCTGTCTGTCCTCCCTCTCCCCTCACCCATCCTCCTCCTCCCACCTTGCTCCCTCTTTCCTTCGCCTTTGCCTGCTCACCCCTCAGAGAACTTCCTGCAGAGACCCTGCTTTGCTTCTGTCACATCTTGGGGTAATTCCTGATGGAAGCCCTAATTCCCCATTTGTAACATTGCGTCTTGTTACCATGCTTGAGGATTAGGCTGTTACAAATGGAGATTATGACTTAAAGAAGGGAAAGAAGCCACCCGCAAGGTGCCTCTCCCCAAATCTCCTGCCTTTGTCCATGTTCGTCGTCCAGAGGAGAGCAGGGAGCATGGCCGCAGAAGGGCTTCCTCCCAGAGTGCTTCCTCTTGGCTTTTCTCTGAAGTACCCTCGTTCCTTCAGTTGTGTCCCAGTAGGGGGACGTCTGCACGAGCCTGCGTGCACCAGTTCTGAGAAGTTTCGCCACGAGCTTAGTAGTGCAGAGCCAGCTTTTTGATTGCGCCTGTGTCACCTTGGGGTGGCGACTTAGGCTCCCTGAGCCACACTGCCCTCAGCACTTTTACATTGCTTGTCAGACCTGGGTCCTCAACGGAACCAGTGTGACTGAACACTCTGCTTGCAGCTGGGAACGCCGCATGCCCTGTCTTCCTCCTGAGGGGCCATAGAGTAGCAAGGATATGGGGGCTCTGAAAACCTGTGAGAGAAACCCTGGTTTAGTTGTATTTTACCTCAAGGCTCCCCAGCTCCTTTGACCACAGGACTCTTCTTTCAGAGAAAGAAGGAAGGCTCTCTCACAGGGTCGTTCCCTGAATAATGGCACACCATAAGGTGTTCGCTGGAACAGTTTTTGGGAAACAGTGGGCTGGATGCTTCCTAAGGACATTTCCAGCTGGAAGATCCTGTAGTCATCCCAAGATGTGCCAGCCATGGGACGATGAATTGTTTTTCCTTTTTACGTCTTTACAGAGTTACAGTATATTAATAGAACTCGTGTTAAAATTAGCTTCAACATTATGCATCCTTTTATTATTTTTTATTTTGGTTGTAGCTAACATTTGTTGAGCACTTGAGTGCCAGACACTGCTGTGCTGAGGGCTTTGCACACGATCTCTCTCTTTTCTTTTTTGTGGTAAAAATACATATAACAAAACAATTGCCATTTCAACACATCCTTTGATGTTTAGGCCAAACCCACCCACATACTGTTTGCCCACAGAAATGTTCGTGAAGCTGAGGGAAGCAGCTGATTTTATAGAGTGTGTTCAAATAAATCTTCAATCAGATTTTGGGTATTTTTCCAAACATGCTTTTTAAAAAAGGAATTTTTTTTTTTTCCCAACTATCAAAATAATGCAAACTCTAAACAGAAAATTCAGCCATAAGGGCATAAAGGGGAAAATGAAAACCACTTGTAATCCTAGGGCCCAGACAGCGCCGCTGTTAACGCATTGTCTGTGTCCTTCTAGATTTTTCCTCCAGGCATGTATATAATTTTTCCCCCTAAGAAATGATACCATATAATACATACTGTTATATAATCTGCTTTTTCCACCTTTCCCATCATCTTTGTTAATAGCTGCACAGTGTTCCAGTGTATGGATATCCCAGAATTCCTTTACTCATCCTAATGCGCGCTAATAAAGGTTATCATGTTCCCCTACATGATATCCTGCAGCCTTAAGACAGATGTTTGATCAAGGATCATTTGAGAAGAAACCTTTACAGTTGATCACACGAGGTCTACTTGTTGATATTTAAGCCGAGCTTTTTGTGAAAAATGATTGTCCCAAACACATACCATCTGAATTCTGTTGTTACTGTGGACATTTGTGTCGGGCTGTTTCATTTTCGGGAAGCTTTGTTTCCTCATTAGGATTCTCTCCAGTAATTATGTCCCGTCTTCTCCCCCAGCTTGTTTGCCATGAACTGATTCCTGGAGGGAAGACCATTCCTGTTACAAATGAAAATAAGTGAGTATAGCAATCATATTTTTAAGGTCACCATTTGAAAAGACTTCATTCTGGCTCTTGGGGCTTATGTTGAGAATTTATTAAGAAAGATGGAAGTAGAAAGAAGCCCATAAATATCATAATGGAATTTCCTGGTTACAGTTCATAGGCAGAAATTGTATTAAGTTCGATTTGCAAATAAGAATTGACAATTTATTTTTGGCGGTAGTACTTTTAAGGTCAGAGGCACCCAGGCCACCATGTTTTGAGGCATTTCATAATGGCTCTAGATGCAGACATATGGAGCCGGAGCCAGTCAGGCACGCTGTCCTCCACGCAGAGGGCACACAGGCAGAAAGACACCTTGAAGGGGCAGATTATTGTGGGATGATACCATGTGGCCGTTGTATGAAACGCTGTTCTTGGGAAGACACAGTGATGAATTCAGATGCAGCCGACAAGGTACTTAGACATGGGGAATCGAGGAGGTTCTCTGAGGCCCGGCAGCTGTCGTCGCAGATAACAGGCTTTTAGGAACGTATCATAAACGTCACCCTTTTTGGTCTCTAGAATCAAAACCCTTCAATGTACTCTCTACCCGGCCCTCTTCTTACCAAATTAAAACAGCAGAACCCAACATGCGGAGTAGATATTGGCCCTTTTATCTCTCCGGCAGTCTTTCTGCCACCAGGCTCAGTGGAGCATTTGAACTATTAACCTGAGCATCACTCTTTAATGGTAAGTTAGAGCTCAGTTCCACCTGGGCGGTCATTTAGATCAGCCGCACATCCCAGTCCACTGTTCCCAAGCATCACGGTCCTCTCAGGCCTGGTGGCCCAGTCAGCCTGCATTCATGGGAGTTTTAGATTTTAGACTGTCAGAATAATCAGAACAGACTCTGTTCTCATCATGGTTAAAATACAGACTTTGCCCCTTGGCCACAGGGCACTAGTTTGAAAAAACCTAGAAGGGGCAATGAGCTCAGGTTGGGAGGGGGAGAGGGTCTAGGCGCCAGCATCAGAGAGAGCAAGAGTGAATCCTGGTCCTGACCCCTATGCAACCTGTAGCCGCGCTGAGTCTCTTCCCCAGTCTGTAACATGAGGCTCGCCCTGCCTCCACCAGAGGGTTCCCTGTGAGATAGCTCATGTAGAACACTGTCCATGATGTCAGTGGGAGCAGGATTGTCACCATCACCAGATATGTGACATGTCACGGAGCCCACCACAGTGGAAGAGGCCACATTCCCGGCTGGAGGTGATGGTAGGAGTTGGGTGTATAACAGCCAGAGGAAGTGGGCCAGCTCAGGCTGTATTCATGGAGTGAGATTCCTGTTCTGCCTTGAAATCTCTGATGTGGAAGCTCATTTAACAAAGTCTTGTATATTCTTAGAATAAACCCTCAATATGTGGCAAGGGTCTTCATTTCTGTCAACTAACTTAACAGGCTTGGCGACACCAGTTCCCCTCTTTTGGGGTGATACCTGATCTTGCAGTTCTGAGTGTCGAAGGAAAACATCTCTCAGACTCACTTGCTCTTTCGGTAAAATAGACCAGTATTAGTAACCTCCTTCAAAGAGTACATGAAAAGAATAGCAGTGATAGAAATATTCATATGTATGTGCTACAAATTTACTGCTGGATAATAAAAAGAAAAAAATAGGGGTGCTTTCAAAGTCAGTAACTTAGATCTGAGCATTGTGGGAGAAAGCATCTTTACTTGGGCTCTACTAATTTGGAATTTGTGAGAATTGTACCTGGCTGTGCCCGGGTTCTTCACTCACTGAATAAATTGTTTGCTAAGAAATCAGCAGTGTTGGCAAAACTGTTGGAATGGATTTAACCTGTTCAAAAGTATCCTATTATACAATTGTAGAAGATGCCATTGTGTTCATAAAAGCAGACTCCGAAGACCCTCTGCCTGGAACTCAGTTGAACTTATACATAACCCAACTGCGTTTGTTCAGAACATTCTGCAGGTCTGCCTTTTCATAGCTGTAGACTGTTAATCTAGACTAGCAAGGTTTTGATTGAAGTCTCAAACGTTAAACGATTTTTCTCTACGTGAAAGCTGATTGGAGGACTGAACTGTATCTGAATTGGTTTGTGTCCAGAGGGATGAGGTTAAGTAAATGTAAAAGCACTCTTTGTGCCCTCATATCTGGAGAATGTCTCACTTTGATTCTGGGTGCAGTAGGGGTTACCCTGATGTCTGACTCACGGGGTTTGGGGGGCAGTGGCTGAGGGAATGTCCTTGGATGCTTAGCTTAGGACTGGCACACAGTGTGCTGTTCTGGGGCACTGTCATTGTTGTCATCATCATTATTTTGGTGAAATACTCTGGGACTACTATGTGCACTTTTTGTAAGACGGTTCATCTTTTTTTGTAAGAATCATCTTTCAGCTCACTGGTAACAGCCTGCTCTGTCCTGTTCATTTCCATTGTTTTCTCTGCCTCGGTGGCAACAGAATCAGCTACATCCATCTGATGGCGCATTTTCGAATGCACACTCAAATCAAAAACCAGACGGCTGCCCTCATTAGTGGGTTCCGTTCCATTATCAAACCCGAGTGGATCCGAATGTTCTCAACCCCCGAACTGCAGCGCCTCATCTCCGGTGACAACGCGGAGATCGACCTGGAAGATTTAAAGTAAGGGGCAGGCGGGAGTTGTGGGGGAGGGGGCGGTTCTTAGGCCTCCTAGAAAGTAAGTGCTCCCCTCGCTGGGTTCCTTTTGGGCAGTTTTTTTTAGAAGCCCATCTCCTAATGTACTCTTCCTCCCTGCTCCCCAGTTGAATCGCTCTGGAAAAAAAGTTCAGCCACTTGATTGAGAGGTAGAAGCAGGTCTTGAGGACTGCTGGGCTCATGGAATCCGAAGGAAATGTGTGGCTGGCTTCTGCTCCAAACCAGCGGGGCCAGCTCTTGAACTCTCCAGCCATTTAGCTCCCAGAGAGACGGGGTTATTAAAGCATGGGCTTGTGGCTTTAAAGAGAAGGTCGTAGTGTTCCCAGGCCTGCCAGAGTTCATTGTGCCTGCTTGTCTAAACACAGTGCCTGCCCAGTGGCTGTCAGTAAGTGCCTGTTGTCTGGATCATTTGCAGGAAGCATACGGTGTACTACGGTGGTTTTCACGGGAGTCACAGGGTCATCATCTGGCTATGGGATATTCTGGCCTCCGACTTCACGCCCGATGAGAGAGCCATGTTTCTGAAGGTATTTTATTTATTACTTGTGCCTGTGTTCGTGCGTACATAGGTATTCTCATAAACCTAGAGGCCAGTTGAGGTAATAACTTACACTAGAAAAATAAACTCATCAGGAGGGCCTGCCTCCAACATCATCAGCGTATCCTCTCCCCGTAGACAGGCCCCAGGTAGGGCAAGCAGTAACTAGAGAGGAGCTCAAGAAACGAGCCCAAGTCAGGTGATCCCGCCAGCCTGCTACTCCCCCCTCACTGCAGAGACAGGGCCCCTGCGCAGGCGAGCAGGCGCTCACGGGGGGCTCAGCACTACCTCCTTCCCCCTCAGCAGTGCTGGCCTCGCTGACATCTCTCTTTTCTTTCTTTCCTTTTGTTACAGAAGTAAACAATGTTCACTACCTTACAGATAAGCAAAAAATTTAAACAATCTATAATCCTACTGTGAAGAATTTTAAACAATATACATTCCTGTTAACCAAGGACTACCTCTGCATAGGAGCTATGGTGGCGCAGTGGTTAAGAGCTTGGCTGCTAACCAAAAAGGTCGGCAGTTCAAATCCACCGGCCGCTCCTTGGAAACTCTATGGGGCAGCTCTGCTCTGTCCTGTAGAGTGGCTGTGAGTCAAAATCAACTCAGTGGCAATGGGTTTGGTTTTTTGGTTTGGTTACCTCTTTGTAAAACCCAAAAACCCATTGCCATTGAGTCAATTCCGACTTATAGCCGCCCTATAGGACGGAGTAGAACTGCCCCTTGGGGTTTCCAAAGAGCAGCTGGTGGAGTCAAACTGCCAACCTTTTAGTTAGCAGCCAAACTGTTAACCACTGTACCACCAGGGTTCCACCTCTATACCCTTCTGTATTTTTTCTTAAGTGTAGAAACGTGCATTTACAACACAGACATACGTACATGCATACATACATACGATGTCCCAGTAACACACACAGTTAATTAGTCTGATATCAGTGTATATTTTTGCGAGTCAAGTGGCTGACATTAACCACCTCCCCTGTTCTGTTGTCAGTGTTCCAGGTGTGCCACCGTTACCGCCATGTTGTTTTTTTTTTGTACTGACATCAGCAAACTGTTAAGTATTTTATAGAGACGCTAAGTCTGTGTATATGTTATATAGGTGTATTTTTTTGTAAAAATAGAATCATATCATTTTGCCACTTGCTTTTTTATTGAACAGTATATTGTGAACATTTCACCATATTCTGGGGCAAATATAAGTGCCTTGAAATACTTTCCTCTGGACATCTGTGTTTCTTGAACTTGGGTCCCTGTGACCACAGTTGTTGAGGCAACGTGTTCAGTATCACCGCCAGTTGAAATGGCAGCTGGTTTTCTGTGGTCTTTGCCATCCTGAGGCCGGTTCATTCCCATTGAGAGGCCCTCAGTTCAGTCCCTCAGATACGGAAATGCACTAATGGTCTCCGCAGTTCTCCAGAGAGTCCAGGTGGGCAGGCAGACGTGATTCCAGAAGTTGATTCTTGGGAGAATCAGTTCAGTTTTGCTAGCAGTGCGTCTCACAGGCGAAGCAGTCTCTGTCAACCTATGAGACCTCGTACCCTGCCTCTTAGAAACAGAGAAGCCAGTGTCTCACAACCATGCACTCGTCCCTAACAGAGCGGGCATTTGTGTCTTTAGATAGCCGCTCACCAAGCCTGCAGTCCTTGTCCTTGTCCTATGCCTGCTGCTCTCTGGCTACAAACAGGACCCAGAGCGGGTGGAAGAGACTGAACTGTCGGAGAGGAGAGCAGGTGCCTGTGCTTTTTAAAATGTGCTGATGACAGAGTATCCAGGGGCTTCCCACACCTTCCATTCCTCCTCCTGTCCCCGGGTGAAAGCTCCCTCCCCTTTTGACCAGCCCCCACTGTGCCAGGGTGGCAGGTCTGAGCAGCCTCCGTTGAGGCGTCCACAGGCACTCCCATGGGCTACATGTCCCATTTATGCAGCCCCACGCATTCCAGAAGGCTGTGTGCACACCGTCTCCCTCCCAGATGCCACATGCAAAGCAGCTCTGCTCTCCGCTTTGGGGAGGTTGAAGTCCATCAGGCCCCACAGGAAGGTGGGCCCACCTGTGGCTGGGGAGAGGATCCCACCCCTGTGTCCCCACCTCATCAGGCCTCACCTTTCCACAGCACCTGTTCAGTTAGCGTAAGTGCCAGACCGCCCTCACCCGGGCGAACACTCTGTACCTTCCTTCTCCCCTCTCTCTTGGTTTCTTTATACTTTCCTCTTCTCCACATCCAAACGTTCCCCTCATTTTTTAAAAAGTCTCCTATTTATTTTTGAATCAACCCCCCCCACCAAAAAAAAAAACTGTTTATTTTTAAGAAAAAATCTTAAGAGAGCTTTCTAAAGGTGCCAAGTATTTGTGGGTCTTAGTCATTACTTTTTTCCTTTGTTTAGTCACCAGGAGGGGCGGTGTAGAGTAATGGTCAGATCAGGGGCCTGGTTTCCAGTTCTGGCACCACCACTTGCTAGCTCTGTAACTTTGGGCAAGTCATGTCCCTCTGTGTCTGCCTCCTCATCCTTGAAACAGCGCTCAGCATGATCCCAGCTCGTAGCTGTGGAGCGAGGGGGTGAGATTGTGTGTGATAAGCCTTGGGCCCAGTGCAGACACAGCAGTGCTTTCTAAATACCAGCTACTGTTGCTACTGCAGTTACTGTGGAAAATAAAACTTGCCTTAGAATAGTGATCTACCTTGTCAATTCCTTTTAAAAATTTTCTTGACACATGACATACATATATTGGATGGTCTCAGGAATCTCACAACAACCATTTCTAACATCCTTTAAATGGTAATATTTAGTTTGATTCAAACATTCAATTTGCCACTGAATTTTGGATCACAGCTTAGTGTTGTGAGGTAGCAGACTTCTTTGTGCCCTCGAGAAGGGGAGCACTTTTGGTTACTGTCACCGTGAAGAAAGTGGATGGTTTCTTGGTGCTTCCTGTGCAGGTTGGCCACTCGGGTTTCAGGTGAGTCAGATGCCTCTGACCAGGCAGGAGCTAGTACATTTGGGGAGATATCATAGGTGCTGCCGTCTGGAGAAAGCCAGGCACTCCCGGGGGGAGCAGGCGAGTGTGGCCGGCCACCCACAGGCCCCGTGTGGGGTGCCCAGTACCTTGGTCTGCCCCTCAGCCTTACCGGCTCTAAGGTCAGATTTCTGGCAGTTCACCTAGAGCAAATTAGCATGTCAGGGCGGGGCCCCAGGAGCTGAGCTCACACAGGTTACTGTGTAAACCAGCAGGCCAGGCGCTCGGCTGAGCATGCACACGTGTTCTGCCCTGTGTGGCTAATGGGATGCCAAGTGCCGGTTGTCACTGCCTACGGTGCAAGCAGACACAGTCAGTGGTGCAAGCCACACCAGGACTCCACGTGCCCAGCTCAAGGGCCTCAGCTCGGGGGCCTAGCCCTCGCCCCCAGGCCCGCTCAAGTGGGCGCCACCTGCTTCTCCCGCCTCTGTGCTCTTTAACTGCAGGGTCTCTCCCTAAGGGAAGGTGTCAGTCAGCCTATCCGATGCCATTGACTACATTTGAGACCCAGTCCCACTGAGATGAGACTGCAGTCCCGTGAAACCTGCCTCCTAGGGACTTCGCACTGTCCCTGGTTGGAAGTTTGTGTTCCGCTTAGTGTGTCATATGTTTTCTGATAGCCATGAGGTTGATGCCCACAAATGACTGGTCATGTCTGTTGGTGAGGATTTCATGTGTCTTAGCCCCAGGAACAGCACGCGGAAGAGAGATGGGGGATCTATCCCGGTTAAAGGGCTGGGTGCACCTCTCTGTCAGCCAGTGGTGAGTGGGTGAGAGAGCCACAGAGCATGGCAGAGCTGTCAGGTGCCTGTTCCAGAAGGAGCGAGAGCCTGCTCTGTCCCCGCTGACCCTGCCTTGTGTTGCAGTTTGTGACCAGCTGCTCCAGGCCCCCGCTGCTGGGATTCGCCTACCTCAAGCCTCCTTTCTCCATCCGCTGTGTTGAAGTGTCAGATGACCAGGTACCACTGCTGGGGAAAGAGTTGGCCTCGCGGGCAGTGTTCCTTGTCTCCCTTCCTGGTTCTTGTCTGTGGTGCCCACCATGTCAGGTCTTCACCCAGTCTGCGTCTCAGTAGGGAAGGGCAGGAGAGCAGGCCACCTGGCACAGGGTCCCACAGACTTGGGCTGCTCAGGGGCACTGGCTGTCTCTGTTGGAGCACCCCTTTTCTTTATCTCCTCAGGGAAGAGCCCCTAGGGGACGTTTCGGTAGCCACTAGTCTGTCCAGGGCTCCAAATCTGAGAGGGAAACAACACGGGATTAGGGGTCAGATAGATGCAGGCGAGCATGCCACCTCCTCTGCCCACTGGTGTGTGTACCTGGGCAAGCACTGCACCCTGGGAAAGTCTAGGTCCTCATCTGTAAATGGGGAGTGGATGGCTTAGGGCCTGTTGCACTCTGTGTGTTGCGAGCCTGACCCAGAATGGGTCTCAATAAGTAGTAGCCATTGTTATTATGTGTCCTGTCCTCCCAAGAAAACACAGTGCCCTCTGGGTGCAGCTGCTTTCACAGTGTCGCTGTCTGGACTCCTGGTCCCTCCTTATTGTGACATGAGACAGTTCTGGCTGCCCTGAGAACTGTTTGAGTACATAACGTATTTTTACACTGTTCTGGCTCTTTGAAGATTAGTTAAACAGTAATTAGCTATTTATATTTAGCAGAAGACCCCTCTGAGAACTTACTTAATACAGGATTCCCGTGCAGGGACCCAAAGATGGAAGTGCCCAGGAAGGCCTGGCAGGGAGAGATCGGGGTGCTTCTCTGCACGTGCCTTTTAAGGCCACTTGTCATCAGTTTGGGGGCTGACCTTGGGCCACATGCAGCGCACGCACTCCAGGCCTCAGCCAGGGGCTGGCCAGGCTGCCTCCCAGGCCCCAACCCCAGATGTGCTGTATGCTTTCAGGACACCGGGGACACCCTGGGCAGTGTCCTGCGAGGCTTCTTCACCATCCGCAAGCGGGAGCCGGGCGGCCGCCTGCCCACCTCCTCTACGTGCTTCAACCTGCTCAAGCTGCCCAACTACAGCAAGAAAAGCGTCCTGCGGGAGAAGCTGCGCTACGCCATCAGCATGAACACGGGCTTCGAGCTCTCCTAGCTCCGGCCCGGCCTGCTGCCCTCGCAGACCAGGGCTCGCTGGAGCACAGTGACGTGCTTGGCGACATGGGCCCCCCAGCCCTCTCTATAGCCATGAGACTCCTCTGTGGCCTCGAGAACTTTAGACAGCATGACGACTGGACACAGCACTCTCCAGGCGATACTAATGGGAAGTGAGTGTTGGAAATAAACCTCCAGATTCTGCCCACATTGGTACTTTTTTCCCGACTTCCCAGGGGCCTGGAGCCCCAGGCCTCTTGATGCAGAGGGGCTTCTCTTTTTGATAGTTTGGGCTTTTGGTGGGTGTTTTTCTTTCCTAACCTTGGTGAGTGAGCTGTGCACGAACAAGTTCCAGGACCCCCAAGGGTCTAGAGCAGTTTTCATGACTTGGGCCTGAGTGCACAAAGCCTGCTACGCAGAAGATGCTCCTTCCATTTCCAAAAACTCTTTACTCAGGTAAGGCCTTGCCAAGACTCTATGCACCCGACAAAGTCTCTGCCTCCATCCCGTCTACAGCAGCCTCTTTCCTGACAACCAGGCCCACCTGCTCCAAGAGACGAGGCAAAGGGGCCTGCTGGCGAGGCGGCAGAGCCCAGGAAGTTCAGGGCATTGCTCCCCCTTGACTCCACAGTTCCACATGGCGCAGTCCTTCCCCATTCTGCTACTCTGCCTCAGATGCTCAGCAGGCTGAGCTGCCAGCCAGGTGTCTCCACTGGCTTTGTTCCCCTTCTTAGGTGTTCACTGGATTTGGGAGGAAAAAACCATTGTCTCTTAGGAGCAGCTCCCATTTCTAAAATGTGCTGTCACCCAAAATCTGCTGGCTCCCAAGGGGAACCAGTGTTGCCCCGCTTGTTAGCTAATGAGGAAACATATGCTAACCTGAGGTACTATAGTACTATAGCCTGTTGGCAGTGGCTTTACCCCCTAAATTGTACAATCCTGGGAGACTCGGGTCTATGGCCCCATCTTCCTCAGCACAGGGAAACCCAGAGTCCTTTGCACTGACATAGACCCATGAGGCTGAGGAAACTCACACACCCTCTGGGTTGGTTTTCTTTTTTCACTTCATTTTCTCTTCCAACCCATTGTTCCTTTGCCCTCATTTGCCCCCTCTATCACCAGAACTTTATCCTACATGCAGGGAATTGTGGTAAAGGACCCTGTTCTGTGATCTGTGTTGATACCCTCTCCCACCTGATCGTGCTCCTTTTGCAACCCCCATACCCCCTCCACCAAGACTGAAGCCAGATTAGAAGTCAGGAGTACCTGGTCCAGTGGTCTCCCCCTCTGTTGCTTGGTGAAGCCGACTTAGGTTTGCAGCTTTCTTCAGAGCAGCAAAACACCTTCCAGCGCCTTCTAGCAAGAACCTTCAAGACAAGCAAGACCTGTCTCCACGGCCTTCTTCAGAGTGTCAGCTGGATCCTGGTGTTCTGCTGGGCCCGAGCCTGGGTGCTAGAGCCCCTGGACTCTGGGAAACAAAGAGTATGCGTCTTACTTCAATGGAAGAGGGCAAGAAATTTGAAGACAGCACCTTTTTATTATTATTATTTAAGATTAGTTAGTTAACTTCTGATCTGTGGACTTGCCACTTTCTTGAAACGCTCAATTACTTTGAAGATTTCTTCTGAATGTGTCTGTGAACTAGCAGGTTTATACGTATGTGCCTGGGGCCTAAGTAATTGTCAGCCTGCAGAAAAAAAGTTGACCCCATCTGAACTTTATTACCTGAGCATCGGAGCCAGCTGGGGACTGGAGAGAGAGTGGTTTATAAGCACCAGTGTCAGCTTTTTTTTTTTTTTTTGGTGAGGAGAGGTAGTTTGTCATTTCATTTGAATTGTTGGTCATTTGGAAATATTGCACTATCTAAAAACACTGATCTGTACTTCTGTAGCTGATGTTCAAATCGTGATTATTATGTATTTGACACCTTGACAACTCTAAAAAGTTGTAGTTTTTTTGTTTTGTTTTGTTTTCATAGATAACTTATGGATTAAGACAGAACTAAAGGCTTTATTAAATTTGTACTTAAGCACATGATGGCTGTGTTCTGCTTTTTATGCCAAGAAGGAGCATTTTCCAGCCACGTGCCTGGCTGGCTCAAGACCGGGCCTGCGGTGATTAAAGAGCATATAGGCTCCCCACAGTGAAAAACACATACAAAGGAGAATGTAACAGACAACCGTGGTCTCCCTAAGAGGTCTCTGGATGGTACGGTTTATGCTTGGCTGGTAATCAAAAGGTTGGCAGTTGGAACCCACTCAGTGGCACCATGGAAGAAAAGGCCTGGTGATCTGCTTCCATGAAGATTACAGCCAAGAAAAGCCTATGGAGCTGTTCTACTCTGTAACAAATGAGCTCGCCATGAGTCAGAATTGACTCGATGTCACAAGACAACAAACATAGTCTCCCTGAGTTTATATCCATTGACAATTTGTCATATTTGCTTCCAATGTTGTTTTAAGAAATAACACATTTCAGGTAAAGCTGAAATCGGCGTTAAGCACCATCCTGGTCCCAGTCCCTTCACTCATGTCCCAGGGGCAGCAGCAGCCTGCACTTGATGTGTACAGAGAAGCCTGTGAGACCCAGAACTTGACGGGACTACCATGCTTTTTGGGTCTCGCAAGTTTTCTGCCTTCGGCAGGGTGCAGTCTTACCACTTTTCTGTCGCTCTCTCTTAGTGGAAAATACTTGAGTTTTCCTTCTCTGACAGGTTTCTACCTTACACGGATTCCGGCTTTCTCGGTTGTACTCTATCTTTTACAAGTTAATTTACAAAAGTGATAGATGTTTATTGAAAAGAGTCTAGATAACTCAGAAGAGGATGAAATAAACGTTGACAGCTGCATCTGAGTATATTTGGCTTTTCTCACTGACTGAGGTGTGGTCTTGCTCCCCCCCCCCTTCTCGGACACACAGCTCTACCCCTTTCTTCACGCTCAGCAGGGAGCAAGTCTCACGCCTGCCCGTTTTTCTAACTCCGCCTTTGATGGGCTTTTCGCCCCTCCAGTGCAGCAGCTCAAACACCCGCAGTGAGTTCTCGCTGCCCCTGGGGCCTGGGAACACCTAAGGATCTCAGTGTGACCCTTGACCTGCTGAAATCAAAGCGGAAAGGAAGTCTAGGAGCCTGAGCAGCCCTTTTCCAACAGCCGGAACACATTGGCACTAAAGGGGAATTGTGTAGCAGGGTTTCTCGAATGCAGCGTTTATAGTACGAAGAAAGAAAATATCGCAAACCCCCCAAAGTACATCGGTAGCCTCCAGTATGAGAGACACTCACCTAAAACAGAAAAGCCTTATTCCATGAAATTTTGGCTTTTAAGTTATCACTGCAGAGGGAAGGTTTGTCTTTATAACTGGGAAAAATACGTGAGGCTTTTTTTCCCAATTATTATTAAAATAATTGTAAAGCGCCGACCCCAAAACAAAAACCCTTGCCATCGAGTTGGTTGTGACTCATAGTGACACTGTAGGAGAATGAAAATGCTGACAGAGCCCGCGAACAGCTGAGAATGCTTTACAGTGAGAAACTGTTCTCCCCTGTCACTGACAGCACCGAAGCCACTGGCTTAACTGTGTCCTATTTATCTGCATAATTCAGCAGATATCACACTGCTGTAAGTGTGCCATAGGCTGTGGGCAGATGGCTTATCTCTAAACTCCATCAAATGGTAAACCCAGGTCTCCCTTAAGCCTCAGACTTATTTCCTAGAAACGTTTTAAGTTGCTAAGAGCAGCTGAAGAACTGTGAATAGTGGTTCAGTGCACTTTCCCAAGAAGCAGAATATGGGCTCTGGAGCCACGGAGACGTGTGTAAACCCCAGTCCCATCACAGACTGGCATTAAGTCATACTGAGGCCACCTTTCTGTGCATTCGTTTCCTGTCTGTAAGAGGGGAGTCATGACGGCTAGAGCATGCTAAAAATTAAAATGAAGTCGTGTAAAATGCACCCAGCTTGGTTCCTGGCACTGAATAAGCACACAGACATTAGTCCTCTTTCTACATGTCCTCACCTTTCATTTTAAGAAAATGGCTGCCCACAACTCTGATGACTAGGCTCTGACCAAGCTGCCAGAGGAGCTTCTGCCGGTACCGATAATCACAGCAGGGAGATGAGAAATTATATAGAGAAAGATAACCTATGATCTTTGTGTAATTTATGTAGAGCAGGGGTGGGGGGAGGAAGCACATTCCCTTCTCTATACTGCCTATTGAGACCCTGGGTGGTACAAACAGCTAAGCCGCACGACTGCTAACCAAAAGGTTGGAGGTTCAAGTCCACCCAGAGGTGTTTCAGAAGAAAGGTCTGATGATAAACTGCCAAAAATTCAGCCATTGAAAATGCTATGGAACACAGTTCTACTCTGACACACATAGGGTCGCCATGAGTCGGTCAACTTGACAGCAACTGGTGGCAAAGTGGTTAAGAGCTGTGGTTGCTAACCAAAAGGTCAGCAGTTCAAATCCACTAGCCACTCCTTGGAAACTCTATGGGGGCAGTTCTACTCTGTCCTATAGGGTCGCTATGAGTTGGAATCAACTCAGTGGCAGCGGGTTTGGTTTTAATGGGTTTGGGGAAGCATTTGAGTTGAAAAAGTACATGAGCAAAGAGTTCTTCAACATATGGTGAACATATTTAATGTCACTGAACTGTACACGTGAAGACTGATAAAGGGCAAATGTTTTGTTACCTCTATGTCTTAGTTATCTAGTGCTGCGAAAACAGAAATACCACAAGTGGATGGCTTTAACAAACATTTTCTCACAGTTTAGGAAGCTAGAAGTCCGAATTCAGAGCACCAGCTCTGAGGGAATATCCTTGTCTCCTTTCAACATCTGTAGGCCCAGCATTCGTTGGAGATCTCCATGTGTCTTGGCATCAGTCTTCCCCTGGGTCTAGCAGGTTCCCAGCACAGGGACCTTGGGTCCAAAGGATGTGCTCTATGCCTGGCTCTTCTTTCTTGGTGGTAGTCAGGTCCCTCACCTCTGCTTGATTCTCTCTTCTATATCTCAAAAGAGATTGACTCAAGATACAACCTAATCCTGTAGATTGTGTCCTGCCTTATTAATATAACTGCCTCTAATTCTGACTCACAGCAACCCTATAGGACAAGTAGAACTACTCCATAGGGTTTCCAGGGAGCGGCTGGTAGATTCGAACCGCCAAACTTTTGGTTAGCATCCGAGCTTTTAACCACTGTGACACCAGGGCTCCATTAACATCATAGAGGTTAGGATTTATAACACACAGGATAATTACATCAGATCATAAAATGGAGGACAACCACACAATACTGGGAATCATGGCCTAGCCAAGTTGACACATATTTTTGAGGGACACATTCAATCCATAACACTGTATATTTACCACAATTAAAAAAAGAGTTCTTCAGCTAGAAGGAGTCAGGCTGAGGCATTTCTAGGCTTGTGAGGCCTCAGGGGCACCTCTCTCCTCCCCCCAACATACGCACACCCAGTGTTAGGCTAGGATGTAGAGAAGGCTGCATGACAGCCCAGACTGGATCTGCAACTCGCTGTCCAGTCTTTGGAGCGTGGGATCAGAACGAAACAGCTTGCTCATTATCGTCATACTAGCTGACACTTGTTGAGGGCACATTGTTGTTAGGTGCTATCAAGTCAGTTCCAACTCATAGCGACCTTATGTATAACAGAAGAAAATGTTGCCCAGTCCTGCGCCATTCTCCAATTGTTGGTATGTTTGAGCCCCTTGTTGCAGCCACTGTGTCAGTCCATCCTGTTGAAGGTCTTCCTCTTTTTTGCTGACCCTTTACCAAGCATGATGTCCTTCTCCAGGTATTAGTCCCTCCTAATAACATGTCCAAAGCACGTGAGACAAAATCTCGCTATTCTCACTTCTAAGGAGCATTCTGGCTGTATTTCTTCCAAGATATATTTGTTCATTCTTTGAGCAGTCCATGGTATATTCAGTATTCTTCACAAACACCATAATTCAAAGTCATCAATTCTTAGATCTTCCTTGTTCATTGTCCAGCTTTCACATGCATATGAGGCAATTGAAAATACCATGGCTTGGGTCCAGGGCACCTTAGTCCTCAAAGTGACATCTTTGCTTTTTAAGGCTTTAAAGAGGTCTTTTACAGCAGATTTGCCCAATGTGATATGTCATTTGATTTCTTGACTGCTGCTTCCATGGGCAACTTCAGTATTTTCTCCATTTATCACGATGTTGAGAGCATATGCTCAAAAATTGAGTCTGACTCCAGAGCTCGAGCTGAGTACTTAAGGATCTCACTGAGAGGGCTAGACAGAGCAAGGGATTTTGGAGCTGTGGAACTGGGTTCAAGTCCCAGTTCTGCCACTCACTAGCTGTGAAGCCGAGGGCAAGTGTTTGCTCAACTAAATGTAGCCACCTCAAGGGAGGGGAGCTGGAACCTGTTCCTAGGAGGGAACAGCCTCACAGAGAATTGAGAGACAAAAGGCAACCCAAGGGACTTGGCTTTTGGAACTATAGCCCTAGGAGACCTCCCTGCTGGAAGGCAGAAGGCTGGGCATTTGTGGCAGAGGTTGGAGGTAGAGTGGGGGTGGGAGGTGTCACACCATTTCTCACTGGCTTTAATCTTAACTCTGCATGCTTTAATGTGAAATGTAATTACAGTTTCTGAATTATGGCAGCGAGCTCGTCAGGACTGACTAATTAATTAGTCAGATTTATAAGTATTTGGTTCTCAGAGATCTATGACCTTGATATGTCACCTCAGAACTGCTGAGAAGTCCTCCTGTTTGTTCTCTTGGAGACCTGCAGGGCTGGAAGAGCTTCCTTTAGGGCTGCCTCAGAGGGACAGTCTGGCGACTCTTAGGCAGCCTGGCAGTCATCACCACGTCCAAAGTCCCCACCCCTTTGGGATCTGTGGGAGCTTTGCTTTAGGAATCCAGAAGTATCAAACACACATCACTTTTTCCACTGCTTCCCTCTGGGGCCATGGCAGACATTACTAATGGATTACCAGACTCCTTCCTGCTGGATCTGAACCTAGCCTCAAACCTCTTCCAGGCAACCACTGCCAATTACCTGGAATTGGTATTTCTTTCCTGTCCCTGGGAAAAGCCCTTTCCCCTCTTCTCTCAGCAGAACAGAGGAGAAAGGAGGCTGGATTTGGACACAGGAGGCCCAGGT